TTGTGTGTGTGTGTGTGTGTGTGTGTGTGTGTGTGTGTGTGTGTGTGTGTGTGTGTGTGTTGCACTGGGCGAAACTCTTCATATGAATTATCTCATTTAATCTTCACAAGAATTTAGTGAGTAAGGTATTGATTGGTGTTAATCCCATTTTACAGATGACAAAATGAGGCTCTGGGGTGAAATAACTTTCCCAAGCTCAAAAACTAGCAGGGAGGTGGAACAGCATTCAAACCTGATTCTTGAATTCCCAGTGCAGTCTGTGGACCCACAGCACACAGACATTACCTGAGAGTGTATGAAAGATGCAGATTCTCCAGCCCACCGAATGAGGATCTGCGCGAGGTCCAGGGGGTTCCTGGGCACAGAAACTGTTGACACTGTGTGGATGTACGCTCTCCAGCAACTATAGCTAATTATGCCCGTATCCTGCATGTTAATGAGTGCTGACTCTGTTTTCCAGCTGAAAAGGAGTGGCAGCGGTGGCAGCTGTGGTGAAGAGAGGTTCAGGGCTAGTCAGGGGCAGAGCTGAGACTTGATTCTGAGTGGGACACCCAAACCACCATGTGATGCCCACTTTTCTGCCCAAGATCAGGTTCTAGAGCTCACCTGTCTCTTCCATGGACTTGGACGCAGAACTCTACGGAGGACAGGAGTCCAGGACTGACTTGGCTGCTCTCCCCTCTGTCCCCCTCTGCAGATGTGCAGCACATTAAAAGGAGGGACATCGTGTTGAAGCGAGAGCTGGGCGAGGGAGCCTTCGGAAAGGTCTTCCTGGCCGAGTGCTACAACCTCAGCCCCACCAAGGACAAGATGCTCGTGGCCGTGAAGGTAATTCTCAGAGGCACGTGGGCCCCAGGAAGGAAGATGGGTGGCTGGGGCCAGGGAGCAGGAAGGAGAGACTCACTCCATTCTGGAAGATGGTATAAACTAACCTGCTCAAATGCAGTCCGGGGCCCTCACTCCAAGGTCAACGAAGTCTCATCCGGACCGAAATCCTCTTCCTTTGGCTTTGGAGGTTGAGAGCCGTGGCACCTAAGGGGGCTGTGCCCGCGGTGCGGCTTGAGGGACACATTATGCCTGTGGCGGACTCTGGTTTTATTCTGGGGGCCCTGGGCTCACCCCTGTCCCCAGCTGGCCCTCCTCCCTCCTCAGGGACTTTGCAGGATGCGTTGTTCGTGCCTGGGAAGTCATTTGACCATTTCTCGTGAGCACAGTTACATGAGGGTGGGTCGCTCCAGGAGGCCCTGGGAGCCAGACATCCCTGGGAATAGAAGGAGATGGGCAGGGTCTCAGGTACAGAGCACATGGAAACCAGAGAGGGAGGCCGGAGGACATTCTTAGATCCCCTCCGTGGGATCCGGCTTCAGACCCCAAGGGGCAGCATGCCCGGGGGCTTCTGCCTCCTGGCTACTGCTTAGATGACTCGTTAACCACGGGGCTTCTGTGCGCTGAGCCAGCTGTGCAGGCCCGCAGCTGGAGCCGGACTGCCTGCGGCGGTAGAGAAGCACCTTGCTGCTACCAGTTACCCTCCCCACCCTTCCTCCGGCAGGGAGCATCTCTGTCAGTCCAGGCTGGACAAATCTTTGAACACAATTGGCACAAACAATAGTCCACTAGCCTCGCTGGGGTACCCACGGGTCTGGGGAGCCCTGCTCGGGTATGTGGAGTGGCCTCTGTGGGTGTGGGTGCAGCGAGCAGGCCCCTGAGGTCAGCGTGAATTCTGCACGGAGTTCTGGGCTGGGAGCAGGAGATGCCTTCCCCGGGAGGGCTCTAATCTGGGCCTCAAAAGGTCCCATCCTTAGCTCTGAGGGCTCTGGTCCAAACTGCCTCATGGGGGCAGTTCCGTATTTCTGTGACTTTGGGGTCTCTGTGTTCACAGCCTTGTGTGTCTGCAGAGAGTCAGTGCCCTTCATGGATGCGGGCAGTGCTGTGCGGGCCACAGGCGGAGGGTAGGAACCAGAGAGCTGGCGGGGGGCCCGGCCATCACTGATTAGCTGTGTGACCTAGTGCAAGACACGTAACCTCTTTGGGGCTCACTTTCCTTATCTGTATAATAGGAAATATAGTAGCTCTCCCTTAAAATTTTGGTGATTAAATTATATAACACAAAAAAATGTTTATTATACTGCTTGGGATACAGTAAATGTTTAGTAAAGAGTCGTTGCTCTTTCTTATTAACATCATTATTCTTGATGTTGCTATTACCCAATGAACTTAGGTATGACATGTGACTTGCCAGCTTTGCCTTGACCAGCTAGAACAGGGCTGCCAAACTTCTTCTCTAAAGGCCAGAGTAAAAGTTTTAGGTTTTGAGGACCACCCACTCTTCCTTACAGCTACTCAACTCTGCCTGTGTAGTGGGAAAGCAGCCTAAACCGTATGTAAACAAATGAGGGTGGTGGCTGTCTTCCAATATATATATATATATATATATATATATTTTTTTTTTTACAAAAGTAGGGGTTGCCTGTTGACCTCTGCTCTAGAAAATAAATAAGGAACTAGAGTGTTGTCCCTTAAAAAGCTAATGATTCTTATTGCTGGATGTCCTGTGAATAAACTTACTCAGGTGTGTCTCCATAGACATGGAGTGGACAGACAAGCGAGTGGTCTTCAAGCAGCTTGGACCAGGGATGTGGAGAGGCCTCTAATTCTGCCCTGAAACTTTTAATTTATAGAATAACAGTAATCCGCCAGGTGCTCCAGCATCGGTCTGGGGACTGGTGAATGAACTGAACATTTTTGCTCTTGGAGCAGGAAATGAATTTGATCGTCTAAACCCTGGGAAACGCTTCCCGTTGAGTGGTCTGGCGTTAAGCAGTAGTACCCAGGCTGGGTAATGCAGAAAATATGTCTCTTTTTTCATCCTTTTAAGAGGGTGTCCTCCCCTCCTTGGGTCTGGGAACCTTGAGGAGTTGAGTGCTCTGGGAGTTGACACCATTTGCCACCCAGGGGAGCCGCCCAGCGACCAGACCCTGGAGAATAGGCTCATCCCCTCTCAGGACAGCCAAGAAATGGCACCTCCTGCTTCTCATCCTCTTTAGATTTTACTGCCTTTTTACAGGCTCCATACTCTTAAGTTTGTTCTCAGGTTATGCAGGGTAATTGCGGATTTCAAGAGAACACATCCAAGTGTAACCCAAACTTCAGTTTTCCCACAATGGTGGTTTTAAAGCAATTGGCAAGTTTTTTTTTTGTTTTTTTTTTTGCCCAGCAGTTGCTATGGTAGGAACAAAGCACAGAAATCCCAGACTCTGCTCTGAAGACACTTGCAATCTGTTGGGGAGATAAGAGAATACGCAGGAAAGAAACACAGAGCCAGGCAAGACAGCGCACTTTGTAGCCATGCGTCGTGTAAGAGTGACATTAAAATCACGTGATTCATGATATTTTTAAATAAGTGGTGCTACTTTTAAATAGTTATGTGACAAACAATAGATTTACCCAAAAGATCTCAAAAGAGTCTTCTCTGAAAGCTAAAGCCAAATAGCTGATGAGAGTATGAGAAAAGTGTCCAACCTAATTAGTCATCAGAAAAATGCAAATTGAATCATATGAGATACCACTGTATACCAAGCAGAATGGCTAAATAGCAATGACAAAACCAAGTGCTGTCAAGGATATGGAGCAATTGCAACTATATACTCTGGTGGAAGTGCAAAGTGGTTTAATTGTTTTGAAAAACTGTTTAGTATTTTAGAACATGAGCATCTGTGTGAGCCAGCCCTTGCCTCCTAGGCCTAGATCGATCGATCAGTCGATCTATCTATCTATCTGTCTACCTGTTTACAAAGAGATATTTTCGAGAATGTTCATAAGCATTCTTTATAACAGCCAAAAGCTGGACCCCAATGTCCATCAGTAGCAGCATGGATAAGTAAAGGTGATATATTCATTCAGTGGGAAGCTTTTCAACAAGGAAAACAAATGAACTACAGCTACAAAGCAAAAACTTGGAAGAATCTCAAAAATACAATGTTGAATGAAAAATATATATGCATAGATATGTATGATTCCATTTATTTAAATTTCAAAAAAAAAAATAAAACTAAGCTCTAGTGTTTCAGGATTCATATTTAGGAAGTAAAATCTATTTTCAAAAGGCAAGGGCATGAATTTCATGAATCAAAGTAAAGTGATTACCTTTGGGGTTGGGGGGTACTGGAGAAACAGGACATGGAGTGGGGGCATTTTTGGGGAATTGGTAAAATTTTTTACTTGCATTGAAAATGTAGTAGTGTTAGCTTTGTGATAAATCAATGTGTTATAAAAGATTTTTCTTTCAAGGATTTATCATATTCTTTAAAATATGCTTAATTTACTTGTTGTTGTAAGTATTTATTGAGCATTTCCTATGTTCCTGGCATTGTATGATGTACTGGGAATGGGGGCATGAAGGAGACACGTGGACCCATGTAGCTCACGTCGGAGGGTCATAGACTATTAGAGCCTACATTTAACGAGGAGGAAGGAATGATGATTGAGATGATGACGATGGTGATACCATCTAACAGGAAACACTTATTAGGGTGCTCACAATACAGCAGGCTCGGCTGTAAGTGATGTGTGCAGATTAATGTTTGTTCTCACAGGAACCCTTAGAGCTAGGCGCTGTCACTCTCCCCATTTTACAGAGGAGAACGCTGAGGCACAGAGAGAGATGAAGCAATTGGTCCATGGTCCCACAGCGAATCAGTGGAAGAGTCACATTCAAATCTAGGCAGCCGCTTTCCTTCACAGATGAGGGAATGAGACCCTCGTCACTGCTTTTCCTGTTACCCCCTCTCTCCATGCTCTGTTCTGAGTGAACCTCAGCATGTTTTCAAAGTTATGAATTCTTATGGTTTTATCTAGTGTAGAGTTTGTCTCATGGAGGTTTTTGTCTCAACGTCAGTGACCATATGATTTATTTCCAGGATATCTAATTGGTTCTTAATTTTATTGTTATCTTAATTTTATTTCTCTCTGGGTTTTTTTTTCTGCATACCTCCTTGGTTTTCTTAAAACTAATTATTTCTTTACTCTCTTTGAGCGTTTACTTACTCTAATATCTTTATCAGCCTATTCCTATAAAATTAATTTTATCAGCAGGAAATTTACATCCTACTTATTAATAATTTTAATCATTTGGATTTAGCATTGTATTTCTTCTGGTATGTCTGAACTTCAGCTCTTGGGTTCCTTTTCATCTGGAGGGTTGTTTTGTTTTAGTTTTGGGTGTTCATGGCGTCCAGTTTCAGTTACTTTAAGTTGGAGCTGGAACTTAAAGCATTTGTGAAATGAACTAAGTGCAGAATCTCAGGTTTTTACTATTTTTTCAGTTTTTAAAGTATTTTCCTCCCCCTCTTAACACTTTTTAGCTACTGACCTTTAGCAAGTCTTTCTAAAGTATTCATTCCTAGTTTCCATAAAAGCACCCCACATTTTGCTCTCATGTTACATTGGTTTCTATGACATTTCATTCTATTAAGGGATGACATTAACAGGCTTAACTGTTATAAGTGAATTTGAGAACAATCACAACTGACTCTTAGTAAGCTCCTCTTTAGGGCAGAAGTATCTCTCTGGGTATCCAACCAGCACTGAATGTTCAGGGTATAATGGACACCAGTCACTCAGCTCTGCAGAAGTGATGGACAATGCCAGCTAATATGGCCAGTCCATTGCATACACATGCCTTAGTTGAGAGTGTTTCTGGCCAAAAGAACAGCATGTGCAAAGGCCCTGAGGTAGGCAAAAGCTTGGAAGGTACAAAGAACAGAAAAACCTGTGAGACAAAAGTGTAATGGATGAGAGGGAGGGAGTGTATAGAGGAGAAGAGGCAGAGAGCGATGGGAAGAGTAGACATTTAGAGCTCATGACTGTGTTAAGGAGTTTGGACTTTATCCTAAAAACAGTGGAAAGCCACTGGCCAGTTTTAAGCAAGGAAGACAGATGAGAGAAGGGCACTTGGGTATGTGATAACTGCCCATCTTCCTCCCTCATAAAGTTGTCTGGGAATCTCAACAGGGAGAAGTGACAGTGGATTTTGAGAGACTAAAAGAAAGGTGATTTTCCTACTTGAAAAGGATTGTTTGGTGTGTGTGTACGTGTATGTGTGTTTGAACACTCGAGAGTTTGCCTGTTCAGAAATGTGTGTATCTCTGCACATGTAATAAAAATGGGTTTCAGTATATTAATAAAATCTGAAACTGAATATCCACAAAATATCTGCCCCCAATAAAAGAAAAGGGAAATGGGAGGCAGACTGGACAATGTCCCCAGACTGGACAAGATGACATGAAATGACTGACGGAGTTGGGAGCTGTGGAGAAATTTGAATATTCTTGCCAACTAGACTGCTTCCCTCCCGTCTGACTAAACATCCCCATTGAAACCCAGAGCTGGGAGGTGGACCTGAGACCTGATGTATGTAGAAGGGAGACAAGAAAGGGCAATGTCTTCAAAATTTGGATGAATAAGAAGGAGATAGAAGGGCAAATCCCACATCTTCTCTTTGCTCTCTGGATACCATGTGAAGGGCCTGGCCAGGACCCTCCCTGGCTTCAGAGCCCCCTTGGCAAGCCCCAGCTCCCTGCAGCAACAGTTGGCAGCCACAGGGAACACCAGTCCTGTCCCATGTCACTGACTGGTGACCCGTTTTGAAGTTTCGCAGCTCCGAAGAAGATGTTGAGTGTGAACTCCACTAAGAGGGGCATGAGAGTCTCTGGGCTGGTTTTCCTCCTCAAGATTCTTCTCTAACATCTCTGACCCAGTTGCACCAATCCCTGGGGACATGGGTCATTTGCAGCTCTAGACCCCAGCTCCAGACCCCAGTTGTCACAATAGACCCCTTGCCAATGGCATGGGAACTTCAGGCTGAACTCAGGAGCTGGAAAGCCCATTATGAAGACTAAACTATGTGGAAAGACTGAAAGAGACAGCAATTCCTTTGTGCCCCATCTCCCAAATGCAGAACTCACCTCTGCCCTGCAGTGGAGGTTGCCAGTCCTGGGGACGCTGCCTGGCACTGCTTGAGAGCTGACTATGGACATATCCAATGGCTGCCATTGGCTGTCTGGATGGTGCAGGAGAATGATTTACAGAGATGGAGAGAGGCCATTTGGCTGGCCCCAAATTTGATCTACTTTTCCCTCTCATAAATCCAGCGTTCACATAAATCTTTGTATTCTCTCATCCCACCCATGCTGGGTTCCCTTTCTTTTTTCCTTCTTATTCTTCACGAAAATAAATAAGTCACTGGCAGTCGTCCTATGTCCACGTCCGGGCCCATGCAGCTCATGAGCGAGGTCACCCAAGGAGGCTCGCACTCACCATGACACTCTGCCCTCTTCCTCCCATAGCAAGAAGGCTTTGCAGACATCTTTGTGCTGGTTGGAGGTGGACACACAGCAGCCTGTGCCTGTGTGGTTGGGTAGCTCTTCTGAGAAGGCAGCCAGAGCAGAAGTGGAAAACCCACGAGATCAGAGCTGGTGAGAATCAGCAGTGGGCCAGCGGACATTCCACTTTCCTTCTGGCCTTGACCTGCCCTGTAAGCCTGGCATCCTTGCCCGGCCCAGCCACTCTGTTGGCAACTCACACTCCTTGCCTTTGCTGACCCTCTCCTCTGCACTTTCACATCTTTTAATGTCTGTGCCCACCATTCCTTTGGGGACCTGCCTCGTGACTAATTCAGTTGATAAATTAATTCAAGCAGGTGTGTTGGACAGGAAAGTATCCTGAGTCCAGACTCAAGCTATTACTTCTTGCATGATCTTTGGCAAATTGGTTTTCTGTTCTGAGCCTCAGTTTTTCTCACCTGTAAAATGGGAAATCTCTCTTAGATAACTGCCAACATTATGGTCAACAGGAGAATCATTTAATCAAACGTGGTTTTGGTGAAACCTCCAAATTTTGAAAAGAATGAGAGGTGGTGCTTGTTGAAGTTGGAGTGGGGCTTGACTGCTGGCTGAGAGACCATGGCCCAAGAGTCATTGACATTGAGCTTTGGGTCCAGCACCAAGAGATTGCTGAGGTCCAATTTAACTCTAGCTTCTGTCATTTAAGATGTGTGAATGTGTGCTGACTCCCAGACAGGGCTGGGCCTCAGTTTTTCCCACTCCAGAAATGAGCAGGTGGAAGCAGCTGATATCTAGGGCCCTTTAAATGCCACGAGTCCATCATCTCTAATGTATGCCACTGACTGATGGAGGTTTGATGGGTCCCCTAGATGCAGGTTTTGCACATTCACCTTCCTGCAGTGCTGTCAGCCCAAGTTGCCCGGTGTATTTCAGTGAATCGGGGTTGTGGAGGCAAAAGGAAGATCCTGGCTAGGGAGGCTTTCCCAATAGCAGCATGATCTACAGGTGAGGTGAGTCTGGCCTATATAACCAGAAGAGCCCAGGTACCTGGCCGAGGGAATGCAAACCAACCTCCTGTCTAGATTTTCACTACCCTGAGAATGGCACGTGAACGTCACACTCATTCCCTCATTGCCTCGCGTCTTGTCTATCGAGGTTACTAAACTGTGTCATTTAAAGCAAGTGGATGTTTGGCTCTGTTTGCCTTCTGACCTCATGGGGAGGGTGAGGAAGGCTGAAGACATGTGTGAGCTCACCTGCCCAGGCTGCTCATCCTGCAGAAAGTGACCGTCCCTTTCACAGTTCATCATTCACCCTCCAACCTGGCTGCGTCCCCATGGTAGTGCCCTATTCAGAGTCCCTTGGGTGTGGTCTGGTTTCACTATCTTTTCTGATCCAGAAAGTCCACATTCACTGACACCACTTGTGACCATTGCTCTTCTATTTGTCTTCCAGGCCCCAGGGCAAGTGGCCTTCTGTTGCTTCCTTCTCACACCAGGGCCTCCCACTCCCACAGGGGCCGAGCTGTGACATTTCCGCAGCCACCAGATGCCCACCCTACCCTGGGACTTGGTGATCCTTTACCAGGTCCTGATTCTGGATGGGTCCTAAGTCTTCTGCTGACTAATTGCCATCCCACAGCTGTAGTCCCCCTTAGCCCTCAATGCTCCCTTCAGCTCCCTGCGAGAAGGACACAAATGCCTTCTAGAAGCCAAAATGTTCATGTTTCTTTGCAAATACACACTTTTTCCCAATCTAAAATCAAAGGATAGAAAGAGCAAGGAACCTTAATTACATTGTCTGCCTGATTTCGGATGGGCTATGGCAGAGGCCAATTTACAAAGTTAATGCAATTGGGACAATGATTTCCCCTCTGTGTGTTTTAGCTGCGAGGCCATTTTTTCGAGGAAACCTTAGGGGCAAGGGCCTTTGTCAGGCCTTCCACCTCACAGCTTCCTCCCTCCGCCGTCCACACTGATCTCTGAGGAAGCTCTGAGCTAAACAAAGTTCGAAATCACTGGCTGGCGGATGGGACGCGGGGGTCAGAAAGCTGGAATCTGTTTCTACAAGGATCAGCACGCTGAGGGAAGGAGGAGTCAGTCCTGGCTGCTGTGAAATTAGCCTCTTGGTCTTTAAACCCCGATTATGAGCTTATTTCCTGGGAATCAGCATTGTGTTTATTACGGGCACCAGGTTTCTTCCCAGGAGGGGAATGGACAAACCCCTGCCCTCCAGCTGCTAAAAATCCAATGTCCTATGTTGTTTCCAGGCCCTGAAGGACCCCACCCTGGCTGCCCGGAAGGATTTCCAGAGGGAGGCTGAGCTGCTCACCAACCTGCAGCACGAACACATCGTCAAGTTCTATGGGGTGTGTGGCGATGGGGACCCCCTCATCATGGTCTTTGAGTACATGAAGCATGGGGATCTGAACAAGTTCCTCAGGTAAGCAGGGATTGCCATCCGCACCCCTAACCCCCACTGAACCCCTGGGGTTCTCTGGAGCCAGAAGTCCTTTTGCTCCTCTGAACACTTCTGTCCGGGGATTCGAAATGAGAAACAAGCTTTCGTTCTTCTGCGTTCCCTCCGGAGCAGTTGGATGCAGGCCTTCCTAGGGGGACAGCTGAGGATGCTATGAAAAGTAACCTGCACATTCTTCCTGATACTCAGGTGGACTGAGAAGAAGGACAGGGTCTGGAATTGGTCCAGGGAGGAAGTCCAGAGGGCCTGCCGGCCTGTAACTTCAACTCCACGATGCTAGGTCTAACCCTTCCGCTGATGCAGTGAATCGCTTTCTGACTTTGTGCCTTACGTGCTCAGATGTGGAGGAGCAGGCGTGTGTGAGGGTCTGTGGAATCTAGGGTCCCAGGGAGCACACTGAACACTCAGACTCTGGACGCTTTTAGAGTGTGTTTTTTGCCACAACCAGCTTTTGAAACCTACTGCTGGGTGAGATTTCCAGAGCTCAGATGTGGGTTCGGGTAAACTCAAGCGTGCTCACCAAAACTCAACGAGCATCTCCTTGAAGTGGGGTGTCCAATCGAGTGCTGTGGTTTTGAGAAGGGAGTGGAAAAGTTTGGAAGCCAGTTTCCCAAAATGGCCCTCGAGGAACTGAAAGTATTTATAGGATGTTCTAAAACCTCCTGAACTTGGTTTCACAATGAAATTTGCTCCTTTCCTCGAGAACTGAGTCTTGAGCATAAGACAGCCTTGGGCTCATATCCTGGATTTATCAGGTCTTAGTGATGTAACCTGGAGCAAATGATTAAACCTTAATTCTCTCTCCTGAAAACTAGACGACTAAGAACTGCTTCACAGGCTTGTTGTCGCGAGTATTCAGTGACTGTATTTGTCTAGTGCTTGGACAAGTTTCCCGCGTCGCTGGGTGTCCAGTCGATGGTAGCTACTATTAAAATTATTACACTGATTATTTTATGAGAACTGTGAACTGTGGCAGTTTCTGATTCAGGCAGCATCCTTTCTCAGTGTTCAGAAGCTTTCTCTCCCTTGGCTTCCCTGCCCCTGAGGTCAGAGGGACATGGTCCGTTGTCCCCCATGCCCTTCCCATAGATTCAGCGATGCCTTCAGCCCCTCCAGGGTAAAGAGAGGTCCTGGGGGCTGCTGTGTCCCACTGCCATGCCCGCTGTAAGGGAAGAGGAAGAAAAAGGAGAAGCGAGTGGAAGGCCCTTCCTGCTCTTGCATCCCCCAGTTGGTGGGTCTTAGGGGCAGGCTGCCGGCCACTCTCCCAGCGACAGGAGTGGGGCTTGTCTGCTGATTCCTCTTCTTCCTGAGCTGATATTGTAGCTGTCCTTAGGCTGCATGAGGTAGTCAAAGCCCACAGGAGATAATAAAGTGAACGTGTCTATATTTAATGGGACCTTTCAGTGGAAATTGGAAAAGCGGTAAAACAGGCCGAGGCCTGACTGTACACCAGGGCTCCCTAGCTCACGATTTCCCTGGCTCACAAATAAGGGCCCTGGGTGTGGTTACGGCTCACTGCGCTTTCTGGGGAAAACAGTGAACACTAACAGTGACTGATACAACAGGGCAAGGTGTTAGGATAACAACTCTGGGCCTTGATTTGGGATGGAGGGGTGCTGTGGCTTCCCCGGCCTCTGCCTCGGGGTCACAGGGTGTCCTCCTCCTGTCCAGCCGTTAATAGAAGCTACCCCAGCCTCGGCAGTACGGTGCAGAGGTGAGGAGTGTGGACTGCATCAGCTCGGGAAGCGCTAGCAACGGGGAGCTTGTGGGAAATGCAAATGAGTGAGCTCTGCCTAGCCAATCAGAATCGTAGTGGGTGGGGCCCCGGAACCAGCATTTAACAAACCCTCTGGCTGCTCCCTGAAGTTTAAAGCTCTCCTCCAGAGCCGCATGTCACTCATGTGGCCACTCTGGGACCTCTGTGACTGGCCTGGTGATCTGATCAATTTGTGCCTCAGTTTCCTTATGTCAAAAATTGGGGTGGGAAGTTTAAGTGAATTAATATATTTAAGATACTTAGAGCAGTGTGTGGAATGCAGTAAGGGCTGTGTCAGAGTTAGTGTTGTTTTGGCAGTTATCCTACAGTAGACACTAGAACCTGAGGAGCCCCTGGATGGCAATAAAACACCTAAAAGAGTAGGTTTACTTCCTGATTCATTAAAGCGTGTCTGCTGTCGTCTTAGTTGGAATCTGGTTGCAGAGCCTCATCCATATCTACACTCACGCAATATAGTTTTGGGTGGAGAGAAATAAGCCGTAAGTAGGCTAAGAAAGGAGATTTCATTCATTTCTGTGGTACATTCCAGGGAACAGGGAATCCAGAAGGCGTTTCCCTTTGATCTCCTGAATTCTCTCTGCCCTCTCACCTCCCACCCCCCAACAGGGCCCATGGGCCAGATGCGATGATCCTTGTGGACGGGCAGCCACGCCAGGCAAAAGGCGAGCTGGGGCTCTCCCAGATGCTCCACATTGCCAGTCAGATTGCTTCTGGCATGGTGTACTTGGCTTCCCAGCACTTTGTGCACCGCGACCTGGCCACCAGGAACTGCCTGGTGGGAGCCAACCTGCTGGTGAAGATCGGAGACTTCGGCATGTCCAGAGACGTCTACAGCACGGACTACTACAGGGTAAGGTGGCTTTTCCAGATGCAGTGATGGGTGGCAGAGCTGGCACCTTGCTCACATGTCTTTGTCATCGTCCATTAACCCTGTCACTCTAGAGCACACACATGCACACCCGTGCCCAGACGTACACTTGACAGGTATCCTTTGGCCACTCCTGCATCTCAACATACCTGTTAACTATTCTCTTGAGAGCTCGCTCCTCCCTCCCACCTGGACAGGGATGCTCGGCTGTATCCTTACATTGCAGTGATGTGCGCATTGTGTTCTTACCTCCATCAGTACTCATTCTTCATGCAAACAGATACAGAAATATATATGTATATGTAGATACATATATATGTATATACATCCCCAAATGCACACATGGACAAGCTCAGTTTTGTGCTACATTTTAACATCTTTCAGCTCAGTTCCCTCTCCAGCCTCACCCGCAGACATTTTATTCTTTACAGTTACCTGGTGACCATACAGGCTTGTTTTCAAAGGTAGATCTTGATAAGAAGTCATCGGCCAAAATAAAGTCACAAAAATGGTTGATGCATTGCTGAGCAGAATTATCCAAATGGCTTAGAAAAGATGAGGGGAGGAAGCAGGTTATTGTTGCCAAGTCTGGAGAGAGGAGGTGCAGATGGGCCTTAGCAAAAGATTTTTTTTCTTTTTTTTTCTTTTTTGACTTTTTTTTTTATTGAAGTAGAGTCAGTGAACAATGTTGTGTCAATTTCAGAAAGGTTTTTGATTGTAGGAGGACACATCACCTTCGATTTTAATTCTTTACAGCTGTCTACTTTATGGTAATAAGTGTCTTATTTGGCTTCCCCCTTTTTTTTCCCCCTAAGTGTTTGGGAACCATCTTCCCATGGATCATGGGGTGATTCTGACAGTGTTATTATCGCCAGGGAAAGGAAGGGTGGGCGTGAGGGTCAGTTACCCCCAAAAGGGGAAATATGGATGCAACCTGAGATACAGAGGTAGGACAACTCCTGCAAGTTGACTGGGAGGCCAATGCCTCAAAAATATGGAAGATTAACTTCAGGGGCTTTGAATGGGGGAGGAGTTTGGATGGGTGGTATAAGCAGAGGCTGGGACAATGTTTTGGAGGTCAAGAGACATGGCTTTGTGCCTGGATGTACAAAGACATCTACTTTGTACAGAATGAATGATCATATTGTGAACCAAAGGGCCTAGATATGAGAGTCTTTTTGGCCTGAGCACAGTGCGTCAGGGGGCTGGGAGTTTGGGGTTGGCATCTGCAAATCAATTCTTTCTGGACGCTCTTGATGGCTTTGCCTAAACAACATTGCTCAGATATTATAAACGATCACTCAGGACACTTTCTTTTAGCCATAGCCTGGAGGAAAATGGGATGTTTGAGAAATGCCCTTTGTGGCTAAAAATTGACACGCTCATGGTACAACTAAAGGATGGTAGAAGATACACCATCATGAGAATATGAAGCAAAGTAGATCGAACAGTAGGGGAGGCAGAATGTCTACAGAAAACTGAGCAGCTTCTCTAGCCTCCTGCCCTGTCCAGCACCGCCCGGTGTGGAGAAAGGAGCCTGGTGCAGTAGTAGGCACAGACCGGTGGCCAGGGCAGTGCTGCCAGGAAACATTAGAGTCTTTCTTTAGCATCTAGACCAAGGTTTTTCAGTCGTTTCCAAGCGAGGCATTGGTGTAGTTACTAAGGGCCCATGGGTCATAGATTCCTTGAGTCTAGCTGGAGCTGGCACCATTTAATTGGCCCTGCACTCTGGGTAATGGGGTTTGCTGGCCTGTCCGGCTGAGCTCAGATTTATGTTGGTACTGATGAAAGCAAAGGATGAATCCTTGTTTTTCTGTGTGAGGCAGATGTTTGATTATACCAATCTGGTCTCTGCTGGCCTCACCAGCGTCTTGGGAAACAATATCTGACCAGAACGTGTGCAAACTTAGCTTTCAGACGTGTTTCAAGGCGTGCACTTATATTTCTTGATTCCGATTTAAAAGAGAGGAGGAAAAGATCACATCTCTGAACAATGCTGCTTTGCCCTTGCTGGAACAGCTGGGGACTGCCACTCTTTACTCTGGGGACAGCTACAAGGAGCAAATCCATCTCATTTCTGTGGGCTCCGGGGCAAACTGAATTCAAGGAAGAAAGAGTGAGGTGGGAAGATGTTCACACTCCAGGTATCCGCAGTTCCCTTTTTGTGAGTTCTAAGCCAGCTGTCAGCTGAGGCCAGCTGACTTGAAAATGCATGTGTTTGGTCCCAAGGAAGTATGAAATTAAGAGGGGTAACTATTGCACTGAAAACAGCCTGCATGTTCCTCTGATAGGGGGTACATGTTAGACTCTGATTCAAAGAGCAGCTTGTGTTGTATCTTCATGTTCAGTTCAGTTGCTCACAACGTCTTAGAGTAATTACAGCACCCTTCCTCCCTTTCTGTGAAGCAAAAGGCAGAAGCAGACTTGCTTGAAGTCATGTCAGTAATAAACCGTGAAGTCTTAGTATCCGTATTGGAAGACATCAAGCTGACAAGGGAATTCTGTACTGGGGCCCAGTCTTATCTTTGTTCACATCCTAACACCACCATGAGCAGCCATGGGAACTCAATGCCCTTTCTTGAAACCTCTATTTAATTTCCCAGTTTTTAATATGAGGACAAACACAATCTCTCAATTGGGCTATTTTGATGTTAAGCAAGTTAATTTGTGTAAAGAGCCTGGAATACACTACTTACTGGACAAACTATTGTTTACATTATTTTCATTAGTCCCTTTCACACTCAAAGCAGAAGAACCTCAGGGATAATCTGATTTCCTGATATAATTCCTAAGTCAGAGAGAAGGACCTCCTGACCACTGGAAAATAAACTGGGATCAGGCCACTGCCCCAAAGGAAGAGAGTCTTTAAGTTGGCCACCTCTGGAAAACTTTCTTCCTAAGGTTTCAACTTAGATGGAAATACTGGGTCATCAGTTCTTGCCTGTTCTGGGCAGTGTTTATACGGCCCTGCTCATGAGTCTGAGTGCTGAGTCCATGTTCAGGTGACTTATGAAAGATCTATTTGTTTGGTACACCAGCTGAGACTCTGGGAGGAATATAGTGATTTATTAGAGAGCAAGAATGCTGAAGGATTCTCTCTGTAAGCCGACACCCTGGGCGGTTCACACCTCTCTGCCACTGTACGTCGCTGAAATCTGCTGGGCTTCGGAGTTTGCTGGTTCTGGTACCCAACGCAGCTAAATGCAGATAATTCAGGGGTGTGTGTGTGTGTGTGTGTGTGCGTTTGCTTATCTGCCCAGCGCAGATTCCAGAGTGTCTATATGAGGGCAGGGGGAGAGGTGGAAATAAACTCCTCCTTATAGCCTTTCTTTTTTAATTTCTTAAGACAAAGAGATGCCATCTGGCTCACGCACGGGTGACATGAAAATGATGTACAAAGGTGAACTGCCTAATTTCCTGTTACGCGTTGAGAGAGAGAAAACGAACATCTCTGCACCAGAGTGAATGCCAGAGCGATTTGTTCTGTCTTCGTAAGATTCCTTTCCCTTGCATGGGTCACTGACTTGACACTTCTGAGATTGCCTTTAAACTGGCTTTCACAAGGGCAGTTTGGGGTGCCATTATATCGTTCTCAGAGTATCAGACAACGCTACGTACAAGTTCAGAGGTCAAATCTGGACTTAAAGAAAGTTTTGAGAGCCCTGAAGAAGAGGAGGTTGGGGTTCCAGAACAGAAACGTTTCCAGACGTTTTGATTGGGAGGGGAGGTGATATGCTGAGATACAGGATGGACCCGGTGGAGGGGATTGGTGCTCTGATCGACTGATGCAGAGGGCCAGGCGTGTGCCTTCCTGTTCACCAGCCATCCTCTGTGCCTAGCACAGGACCTAGGATTTGGCAAACACCAAGTGAAAATATGAGTGAATGAAGCCAGAATGGGAATTCAGAGTTAGGCAGAAAGTGGATTAGGACAGACCAAGAGGGGCCTGAATAGGCAAACAGACGCCCTCTTAGGTGAGGTGAGTCCTTGGAGGTGATGTGGGGCATCCACTGTAAAAGCAGTGTCTGGAGAAGACGGGTGGGTGGTGATTTGGGTCAGGGATGACTCACTTAAGGATGGAGCCTTGGGAGGGCACGGGGCCAAGTGTCCAGGAAATAAGGAGGAAAAGTGTGTATGAATCTTCCATAAGGAATATAAGGCCGGTCTGGTAGCTATTAGCAAGGCCTTGTGTTCTAAGCTGGAGATTGCAGTTCATGGCTCCTGAGAACCCCTGGAAGGGATGATGGCAGTGACCCCTAGGATTAGGGGACAATTTAGAATAAGCTGATCCAACTAGTAGAGTATTTGATTGTATGGATGTCTTGTCAACCCCATGACAGTGCAGGCTCTTGGCCCCACACTCCCTGAGTTTGAATCTCAGCTCCTGTAATTCTTGGTTATACAACCCTGGGCAATTTATTTCAACTTTCTGTGCCCCCAACTGTAGAATGTGGCTAATACCCACTTCATATGCATTTTCCATAAGGAATAAGTGTTAATAAATAAAATACTCTTAGGATAACAAATGCTCAATAAATATTAATCATCGTTAATACTTTTGGATCTAAAACACAAATGTCATCCCCAATTCCAAAACAGGGAGGATTGTATGCACTCTGAACTAGATTACCTGAGTGTATTAGTGAAGGTAGGCTGACCTCTGCAACAAGTAGATGCAAAAATATATCACGCTTCCAAGAGAAATCGAAGCCTATTTCCAGGTCATGTAATAGTACGAGCAGGTGAACCTGTGGAAGGTGTAACCATTCTCCAGGCGATCATTCGGGCTGATGGAGGCCACCCTCTTCCTTGTGTGGTGTCCTTGGCCCCCCCCAGGCATCCATCCTATTCCAGCCAGCCGGAGGAGAAACGGGCGTGAAGGAATGCATGTAGTTAATGGGCCTGTAACTTCCCCTCGTGGCAAGAACCCAGTCCCGTGCGTGGTCTCACTGTTTGTAAGGGAGGCTGAGAAACAGGTTATA